GTTTTTTCCACCTCCTTTTTCCCATCTTTCCCCTTACTCTAAAGTACTACAACTAAATAATGATCCGATATATCAGTTGCCCCTCTATAAACATGTACTCCCGGACCTACCCATCAACCTTTTTTCCCCAATACAAATCAATAAACACTTTCATTTTCGGCACATCATACCTTGTATATTATATAACATATAATATATATATATATATATATATATATATATATATATATATATAAATATATAAATATATAAATAAGTTATATATAAATATTATATATAAATATAATATAAAAAATATATATAATAATATAAATAAAATTTTTTATTATTTTATATATATTATAAAAATATATAAAATAAAATATATATATATATATATATAATATATATATATATATAAATATATTTTGAGGAATTTTTAAAAAAGTTGATGAAGATAGGGAACTGTGATTTCGGATAGGGCAAGGGGAAAAACACTTTTAGGGGTGGGAAGAGCCAGTTGTGATGTGGGGGAAGTTCGTGAGGCAGTAGGTAAAATGAAGGGGGAAAGGGCACCGGATTGATGGATAAAGATAGAAATTTTAAAAGCAGGTGGGGATATAGTTTTGGAGGGGTTGGTGCAATTATTTAATAAATTATGGAAGAGGTAAGGTACCTAGGATTGGCAGAGAGCATGCATATTTTCCTTTGTAAAAAGGGCAAAGGGAAAAAAAAGAGAGTGCAAAAATTATAGGGGGATAAGTCTGTTGAGTGTACCTGTAAAGTGTATGGTAGAGTTTTTAATTGAAAGAATTAAGAGTAAGACGGAGAATAGGATAGCAGATGAACAAGGAGGCTTTAGGAAAGGTAGGGGTGTGTGGACCAGGTTTTTTACAGTGAAACATATAAGTGAACAGTATTTAGATAAGGCAAAGAGGTCTTTTTTGGCATTATGGATTTGGAAAGGCGTATGACAGGGTGGGTAGGGGGCAATTGGCAGATGTTGCAAGTGTATGGTGTAGGAGGTAGGTTACTGAAACAGTGAAGAGTTTTTAACGAGGATAGTGAGGCTCAAGTTAGATTTAAATGTAGGAAAGAGGGAAATTTTTTCCCATAAAAGTAGGCCTTAACAAGGATGTGTAAATGTCACCGTGGTTGTTTAATATATTTATAGATGGGGTTGTAAGAGAATAAATGCGAGGGTCTTGGCAAGAGGCGGGGAGTTAAAAGATAAAGAATCACACACAAAGTGGGAGTTGTCACAGCTGCTCTTTGCTGATGACACTGTGCTTTTGGGGAGATTCAGAAGAGAAGTTGCAGAAAATTGGTGGATGAATTTTGGTAGGGTGTGCAAAAGAAGAAAATTAAAAGGGTGAATACAGGAAAGAGTAAGGTTATGAGGATAACAAAAGATTAGGTGATAAAAGATTGAATATCAGATTGGAGGGAGAGAGTATGAGGAGGTGAACGTATTCAGATATTGGGAGGGGACGTGTCAGCGGATGGGTCAATGAAAGATGAGGTGAATCATAGAATTGATGGGGGAAAAAGAGTGAGTGGTGCACTTAGGAGTCTGTGGAGACAAAGAACTTTGTCCTTGGAGGCAAAGAGGGAATTTATGAGAGTATAGTTTTAACCAACACTCTTATATGGGTGTGAAGCGTGGGTGATGAATGTTGCAGCGAGGAGAAGGCGGGAGGCAGTGGAGATGTCATGTCTGAGGCAATGTGTGGTGTGAATAAAGCAGAGAATTCGTATTTGGAAGTTAGGAGAGGTGCGGGATTACCAAAACTGTTGTCCAGAAAGGGGTGAGGAAGGTTGTTTAGGTGGTTCGGACATGTAGAGAGAATGGAGCGAAACAGAATGACTTCAAGAGTGTATCAGTCCTGTAGTGGAAGGAAGGCGGGGTAGGGGGCGGCCTAGGAAGGGTTGGAGGAGGGGGTAAAGGAGGTTTTGTGTGCGAGGGCTTGGGCTTCCAGCAGGCATGCGTGAGCGTGTTGATAGGAGTAAATGGAGACAAAAAGGTTTTTAATACTTGACGTGCTGTTGGAGTGTGAGCAAAGTAACATTTATGAAGGGATTCAGGGAAACCGGCAGGCCGGACTTGAGTCCTGGAGATGGGAAGTACAGTGCCTGCACTCTGAAGGAGGGGTGTTAATGTTGCAGTTTAAAAACTGTAGTTAAAGCACCCTTCTGGGAAGACAGTGATGGATGAATGATGGTGAAAGTTTTTCTTTTTCGGGCCACCCTGCCTTGGTGGGAATCGGCCAGTGTGATAATAAAAAAAAAATATATATATGCAATAAGATCACAGTAAACAGGTGATTTCAAAATATGCAAAACAACCACTCTGAAAGAATAGAGAAATTCCAAGCGCTTTCGTGACTACTCACATTATCAAGGAACTAGTTCCTTGATAATGTGAGTAGTCACGAAAGCGCTTGGAATTTCTCTATTCTTTCAGAGTGGTTGTTTTGCATATATATATATATATATATATATATATATATATATATATATATATATATATATATATATATATATATATATATATATATATATATAATTGCAACCACGAACGAGTGGTATTTAATCAATAACAACATTGCAGCTAGCCGGGGATTCTAACCCATGTCGTTTTGACCCGCCTCATGTGAGCGAAAATCACACGATGCTCTAACTCACAGAACCACCAAATCCTACAAGATTCACGCACCCAGCAGAGCTAGGTGTGTTACCGTAATCCGAGAACATACGGTGGTGTGGTTGCCTCTGAGCTAATGTTCTCGGATCACGGTAGAACATCTAGCTTTGCTTGGTTCTTGATTCTTGTAGGATTTGGGGGTCCTGTGGGTTAGTGTCACGTGAGTTTTGCTTACCAAGACGCGGGCCAAAACGACATGGGTACGAGTCCTTGGCTTGTCGCAGTGTTGTTTTTGTCGTTCCAAATAAGTAAAATTGGTCAATTAACAAGAACTCATTTAAAATTAAGTCCTTTCTAAAAAAAATTATTATACTTTTAAAGGTATATATTTTTTCATTTATGTTAATGTAAAAATCAATAATTTTGTACCCAAAGAACCTTTTAAAACTTACCTAAACTTATTATAATAAGCGCAATTTAATTTAGCCTAATCCAACTAAATTGAGCCTAATGAAACCAAATATGTTGTGATAGGTCTCTTTAACACATGAACCAAAGGAAGGGAACACACTATGGCTGGAAGTATTGTAATTGAATGTCAAAATCTTTAATAATCCTCAACAACTTAGATTAACTTTACCTCTCATAGCTTTGGTCATGAACTTTGATAGTTAAGAGTTATGTAATGACGTGGTAACTTAAATGACTGTGATAATGAGGCTTCGTAACTTGAGAGTGGATAACTTGATCAAAGACAAAGATACGTTTAGCCAAGGAAGCCTTTACTGGGATAACGTTTAGCTCTAAGGAGGCGTTTTTCCACAGTCGTTCCGTGGTGTACATCGCACGTCATCCCAGTCAAGATTTGTTTTGCGTCGGGACATTGTGTATATTCGTGTCACCAGCGCCACTTTCAACTAACATTGTCGTAGTGAGGGAATAGATGGTAGCAAAGGTTCATTGTGGTGCTATGTGGTTGATTAAGTAGTGAAAGTAGAGCAAATGCACAGTCTGAAGAGTCAGTAAGAGACCGTCAATAGGGTGAGACCTTTCGTGACTCGTGGAGAGTCGGCGTCACAAGCCCAGATTCGACTCCCATATCAACAAAGCATTACTTCTAACAAAAGAACTTTTGTTGCTGTGCCACTGAACTGTAACTGTTGTCACTGCCTTCTTAACGAAACTATTATCACAGCTTTGTTGTAGCTGAATTGTAATTACCACTTAGGTATAACGAGACAGCTGCTTTCACAGATATAGTTCCTCTCAGTGCAAAGCTTTATCAGTAATGACCTGGTAAAGCTGTACACAAAGTTGTCCCAGAGAAAAACTGTTCTATAAAAAAGTGGTTTTTGTTCTGTTGTTCTCATTGCTCCATTACAACGAAACCACTGTGGTCACTGTTCATTTGTCTCTTCGACAACAAACACATAATGAAGATTTCGTTCCTAATTAGGATGGTGAAGAATTGCAATACCATGTATTCAGTGGCTATGTAGTCTTCTTTAATTAAATCTTGAATTACTCCAGAAAGTTTCTTTTGTTCCAGAAATGACTTTTCTCATGTGTTTTTTCCTCTTAATCTCTCGTATCATTCGTATCTTCCCATTCGTTATTTATTTTTAATGATTAACGTGCACTGTCTGACTCCAGATCTGATTAATAAATATCCCTTTGAGTATCCATCCCTTTGAGTTCGTTCTGGACTATTAACAAGTCACGAGTGTTTCAAAGCGTTCTGGACAGTTCAAAATGTAGCCCAGATTTAAACTCAGAATTGTGGGTTAGTTATGAATTGTTCGTGCCACGTTGTTTGGTAATGAATTGTTTCTGCCGCGCTGTTGTGACTAAATATTTTCCATGTTTAATACACTCACACTTGTTTAATTCCAGACAAGCTTTCTCCAAATTTTTCACATTCCAGACGTGGCTCATTCCAGGCGCGGTTTTTTTTTTACGCTTTTCCATCACTCCAAGAAGAACACTTTGCAATTTCTCCTCGTAATTCCAGAAAGTGCTCGTTCCAGATGTGGTTCATCTCACACTTATCTCATTCCACATGTGGCTTATCTCACACTTATCTCATTCCACATGTGGTTCATCTCACACTTATCTTATTCCAGATGTGGTTCATCTCACACTTAACTCATTCCACATGTGGTTCATCTCACACTTATCTTATTCCAAATGTGGTTCATCTCACACTTAACTCATTCCAGATGTGGTTCATCTCACACTTATCTCATTCCACATGTGGTTTATCTCACACTTATCTCATTCCAGATATGGTTCATCTCACGCCTAGCTCATTCCAGATATGGTTCACTCTGAACTCTCTTTGTTTCATACCTTTTAGACCTGTTCTCTGTCATTACAGGATGAGGCTACAGTAGAGGCGGAAGATCTGACAAACAGCTATAAGAGACGTCAGCACCATACACGCACAGACAGACAACCCCACGACCCTCTACGATGGGTCTGGATTGACGGTAAATATCATCTTTAGTTCTGCTGAAGTGGGATTTGTGTATCTCTACTTTTTTTTATATTTTTCATGACGGCGTGGTCAGTGAGATTGTTGATACTTGCTTCACACATTCTTCCATAAGGACAATCTTCAGAAACGGGGCTGCCTTAATTGCTATTTCCAACACTGTAGGGATCAATAAGACACTTATGCAAGACCTGGGTATATTATAGAAAGGTGCTTCGTCCGTGCAGCATGTTCTATTACTAAAGCAAATTTCAGCATCACAGGAGTGCTATCCAAGCTAATTCTACCTTGCCTAATACACTACACCAGTAGGTGATGCATGCTCAAGCACTCCCTATCACACGACCTGGCTCCTCCCTAGCTTACTTGAATTCCTCCCTCGATACATTCCTTGTTTTTCTATCCTATATAATGGATTGAAAAGGCCCTCCATTGGGCCAAACGCCTCTTAACTTAGATATTCTAAGGGATGCATTTGCACTTTTATTTCGTAATCAAATGTAAATAAGGCGATCAGAAATCTATTTCAGCAGTTTATCAAGTACGTGAGATATTTTGTATTTATTTTCCACAGTGGGAGGAGAGGTTGGACGAATGTACGTTATATTAGGGGTTTCATAACCCCAGAGAGCATTTGATATATTAAATTAATTTTTCGATCATTAACAGTCTCATAATACTGCATTACCATAAATTAAGCTAAATACCATTATTGCATCTAAAAATTATGTCAATAATTAATGTCTGATATTCATATTTATTCAAGAATTTGGAAAACTCTGTTGCTATATCAGCATTTACTTGAACCCTTTTTAAATATGACCATAACTGTAATTTTTAAAAGGGTGAACTGGTAAACCAATGTAAAGCCTTAGTCAGGTGCCAAAAGCTTCAGGAAACACTTGTCCTGTTTCCTGACAAACCTTACCTAACCTAACCTACAAATATCTAAACGGAGTTCGTTACTTCGATATCATGCTTAAATATTTTCAGTGTCCTGTTAACATCTCGTTTATTTAAGTATGTTTTCCATATGTATTCCTTTATCAAACTGCGGTACGGATTAAACTCGCGGCTAGTGATTTTTACGACTCACTAGCCTCGAGTTCAATCCCCGCCCGTACGGTGGTTTGTTTGCAAACGAGTTATTACAATTTCGTGAAGCAACCCTCTATTATATTTCCCCTCAGAAAAGTGCAGGTTCAGGGCTCTCAATCATATTATAAAAAAAAATCTGACGATGCTTGTGATACCCATGACAGGTGTACTAAATTCAGTCAGTACATGAACACGTACAAAAATAACAAAAAGGCACAATACCGTGACTGGAACAATACGCAAATAACCCGCACATAAAAGAGAGAAGCTTACGACGACGTTTCGGTCCGACTTGGACCATTGACAAAGTGACTTTGTCAATGGTCCAAGTCGGACCGAAACGTCGTCGTAAGCTTCTCTCTTTTATGTGCGGGTTATTTGTGTACACGTACAAAATAAGAATCTTCAGTAAGCAATTCGAACAGCGCCCATTTTAAATGGTGAAAATGCGAATAAATATCGCTCATATGGAATGACTGATAGGCATAGGATATCGTATAATACCGATATCGCATGAAACAAACCCGCAGAGCTAGGGTAATGTAGTTAGTGAAATTACTCTTTAGTACATGTTTTAATTTTGTGTTTATCTGATGATCTACATTCATATCTGCCTCTGTCTGTCTGTCTCTCTGTCTCTATGTATATCTCTCTCTTTTAATATTTTTTTACACAAGGTTTTACAAGGTTAGGATAAGATTCCTAACTTTATTGACAAGCAAAGAGCTGTTACCTACATCAGCTCATTTGAAAGCCTTTATATTGTTCATGAAACATACAAATAAGGAGCAGGATGAAGTTGGAGCCATCTGTGGGCCAGCGATTTCACTTTTTTTTTTTTTTTTTTTTTTTTTGCACAGGGTTTGACAAGGTTAAGGAACCCTAGCTTTATTGACAAGCTATTTACAGGTTAAGGATTCCTAACTTTATTGGCAGGTAAGAGCTGTTACCTACATCAGCTCTCTCTCTCTCTCTCTCTCTCTCTCTCTCTCTCTCTCTCTCTCTCTCTCTCTCTCTCTCTCTCTCTCTCTCCTCTCTCTCTCTCTCTCTCCTCTCTCTCTCTCTCTCTCTCTCTCTCTCTCTCTCTCTCTCTCTCTCTCTCTCTCTCTCTCTCTCTCTCTCTCTCCCTCTCTCTCTCTCTCTCTCTCTCTCTCTCTCTCTCTCTCTCTCCTCCTCTCTCTTCTCTCACTCTCTCTCTCTCCTCTCTCTCTCTCTCTCTCTCTCTCATCCGAATTCAGGAAGGAAAAAAAAAACACATCTTAATCTCATTACCGAAGTTGCCAAAGAGATTCAAACGTTTAACACAATGCACAAGGAAGTGCGACACATTTTAATGTTTACAGATGTTAAGAAATGAACATTGCAACCCAAAAATGTTCAACATAAACGTAAAATGTTGGCAAAATTTCTCGCAATGAAGATCTCTAAAACATTGCCGTGAGACGAGCAGCCTTAAGTGTACGATGATGCAATAACTTTATGAAAGGTGGAGAGAAATATTTTCCTGTTATAGGTTCGATTATAGGTCATTTCTTGTTATCGATTATAGGTCATTTCTTGTTATCGATTATAGGTCATTTCTTGTTATCGATTATAGGTCATTTCTTGTTATCGATTATAGGTTATTTCTTGTTATCGATTATAGATCATTTCTTGTTATCGATTATAGGTTATTTCTTGCTATCGATTATAGGTCATTTCTTGTTATCGATTATAGGTCATTTCTTGCTATCGATTATAGGTCATTTCTTGTTATCGATTATAGGTCATTTCTTGTTATCGATTATAGGTCATTTCTTGTTATCGATTATAGGTCATTTCTTGTTATCGAGTATAGGTCATTTCTTGTTATCGATTATAGGTCATTTCTTGTTATCGATTATAGGTCATTTCTTGTTATCGAGTATAGGTCATTTCTTGTTATCGATTATAGGTCATTTCTTGTTATCGATTATAGGTCATTTCTTGTTATCGATTATAGGCCATTTCTTGCTATCGATTATAGGTCATTTCTTGTTATCGAGTATAGGTCATTTCTTGTTATCGATTATAGGTCATTTCTTGTTATCGATTATAGGTCATTTCTTGTTATCGATTATAGGCCATTTCTTGCTATCGATCATAGGCCATTTCTTGTAAAAAGTCATAGAACAGTCCTTGTTATCGATTACAGATCATATCTTGTTATCGATTACAGATCATATCTTGTTATCGATTATAGATAATATCTTGTTATCGATTATACACAATTTCTTTTAAGCTATTATTTTAGATTAACAATTTAAGTTTATAATTTTTTTTAGTAAATATTTTTAACTTTTCGATTCTAGATTAATTTCTTCTTCATACTAAAAAGAGATAGAAGAATTATACGTTATTATTTTTTATATTTGTTTCCTTAGGGGGAGGGGCGGAGAGGGGGACGTATTTTATGTATATTCTGGAGAGTATATATATCTCTATTTTGGCATATATACACAGTGACAGCAGCAGTATATACAGAGAGAGGCATATATCTCGGTGTATATGTATGATAGACCCAATTTCAAGTCTGTAAATATTTCAAATCGGGTCCCTATTTTTAAATACGTATATACCTTACCTTATTCCCTTATTAATGTACTGACTGGCGATGGACAGTTGACATGCAATTGTAGTGATCCTTAAAAAATTGTATTTCTAATGGTTATAATCATGACCTGATTTTTTAAAGGGGTGGACCGGTAAGCCAGTGGAAGTCCTCGGCCAGATGACCAAAAACTCCAGCTGCGAGTCATCATATGACTAAGACCAGCGACAGGAAACACTTGTCCTGTTTCCTGACAAGCCTTACCTAATCAACCAAAGTGACTCTCGTTTGGTCGACAGGTTTCTAAACCTAATAAACGAATCAGGAGAAAGGGAGAGGTTGCCTATCTGGATAGATATGACTATCGTAGGCTGTTTTAACGGCTTCGGTAGGCTGTATTTAACAGTTGTAATGTGTTATATTTAGTGACTTGGGTTGACTGTCTCAAGCGGACTAGATAACAGTTAACGATATCACGGAAATTTATTTTGCAAATTCTATTTTTCCGATGTATTCACCGGCGGAATTTGTCCATGAAAACTTTTCAAAACCAACGTCGGCTTTCAAGAAGCCGTATTATTTTTATTTTTATAGTTATGGAACGATGGTTCACGAGGGAAAGAAATAAATGAAAAGGGAGAGGATAGGTGAGTTAGACTACCTTACTACCACCATCCCGCTCACCAGCACCACCACTACCACCATCCCGCTCACCAGCACCACCACTACCACCATCACACTCACCAGCACCGCCACTACAACCATCACACTCACCAGCACCACCAATACCACCATCACACTCGCCAGCACCACCACTACCACCATCACACTCACCAGCACCACCACTACCACCATCACACTCACCAGCACCACCACTACCACCATCACACTCACCAGCACCACCACTACCACCATCACACTCACCAGCACCACCACTACCACCATCACACTCACCAGCACCACCAATACCACCATCACACTCGCCAGCACCACCACCACCACCATCACACTCGCCAGCACCACCACTACCACCATCACACTCACCAGCACCACCACTACCACCATCACACTCACCAGCACCACCACTACCACCATCACACTCACCAGCACCACCACTACCACCATCACACTCACCAGCACCACCAATACCACCATCACACTCACCAGCACCACCACTACCACCATCACACTCACCAGCACCACCACTACCACCATCACACTCACCAGCACCACCACTACCACAATCACACTCACCAGTACCGCCACTACCACCATCACACTCACCAGCACCGCCACTACCACCATCACACTCACCAGCACCGCCACTA